GAGCCCGATGCGGGACTCGATCCCGGGACTCCAGGATCATGACCTGAGCCGAAGGCAGTCGCTTAACCAACTGAGCCACCCAGGTGCCCAAGGCAGTATCTTTTTAATAGTCTACAATGAGCATATATTTCTGTAACTGAAGTTATTTTCATTTTGAAAAATATGAAGTAGTTTCAATGCAATACTTCAATAAAATAAAACCTAAGTGTCAACATGCAACAAGGCAAATGGCCAGCTGGACCCAGGCCCTTGCCCTGTGGCTGCCCCTTCTGACCTGTAGAAGGCAACGGGAAGCAGACAGGTAAGTATGTAGGCTCAGGTTTACAAAGATGAAACCAGGTACAGGATGGTATGGGTTCACAGAACAGGTTTGGAGGTAGAGAAAGACCCAGCTCAAACCCTGGTTCTTCTATGTTGGCTGTGTTGACCTTGGGCAAGTCACTTCATCTCTCTGACCTCCAGTTTCCTCTGTGTAGAGCTAGGATCCCTGCCTCCCCCATACAGGGCTGTTTCGAGGATATACGTGTGAGACCCTCAGCTTACTGCCTGACACAGAAGCAGCACTCAGGAAATGTCATCGGCCTTTATTCTTTTGTGGGATATGGACAACCTTCGTTCACATGGCACTCACTAAATTCTCCGTGACCCAGAGTCACAGAGCAGAGTGGAGACAGGAACCACAGACCGCAGAGAATCCAAACATCTGGTCTTAGACAACATGCTCCTCTAGCACTTTGAAAACCTTCCTGGAAGCAGCAGGCAGGGAGTATGGCAGCCAGCCACAAAGAGGAGGAAGAGGAGGAAGAGGAGGAGGAGGACAAAGCAAAGGCCTAAATACTTCCCTGGTGCTGCCTGCTGTGCAGTCAATGAGTCAACACAACTCACTCCAATCTGCTCACCTTTCCTCCTCGGGTGGCTGGGACCTTTCCCGAGACGTATGTTTGGCTCCTAGACAGCCTACTGGAATGCCAAACTGGGAGGGGCTTTAGAGACCAGCTAGTGCAGGACCTTTCATTCTGCAGATGAAGGACAGGAGACCCAGAGAGGGGAAGGACCTTGCAAGGAACCAAGGTAGCCAGTACACATCTGGTGGCCCTAATTGTTCTGTAGAGCTCTGCAGTGAGAGAAAGAACCAGACTAGAACTATTCTGATTCAAATAATGTCCTAGAAAGAGGACTGGTGGGACCATCACTAAGTCAAGAGCCACCCAGCCATTCCTCTGCTTCCAAAAGAAATAGAACCCAGGACAAAGAAGGAGGAGAGCGGAAAGAGCTCTGAGTTATTTTCAAAACTCCCTGGTGACTCTGGAGGTTACCTGGAAATTCTTAGGAAAGGAAGACCCTGGAAGAGAGAGGTACCAGCAGATTTTTTTTTTTAAGATTTTATTTATTTATTTGACAGAGAGACACAGCGAGAGAGGGAACACAAGCAGGGGGAGTGGGAGAGGGAGAAGCAGGCTTCCCGCCGAGCAGGGAGCCCGATGTGGGGCTCAATCCCAGGACCCTGGGATCATGACCTGAGCCGAAGGCAGACGCTTAACGACTGAGCCACCCAGGCGCCCCGGTACCAGCAGATTTAAAAGGAACCAGCAGACTCCATCTCTTAGGTCGTAAATGCAACCAAGAAGCAGGGCAGCCATGGGTGAGGCTAGACTTGGAGGCAGGAGCAGAAGGCCATTTGCCCAGAACACAGTCCCGCCTGCTGGCACTGACTGGGCTGGGGCTTACCTTGGGCAGGCTGACTGGAGTCCTGGGCTTGGTCCTCGGGTTCTTAATCAAGAGCCTCTGATCCAGAGGGAGCAGATGGTATTTCATGGCCTCGATGAGGAAGTCCTTACAGGTGTTGTTATTCTTTATCAAAGCTTCTTCTTCAACCGTCTGGAGGTAACAACCCACAGGTGATCCAGGAGCCGAGCTCAGCCGCATTTCCCAATCTGCCCCCCACCAAGGCTGAGTCACTTCTGTATTCCCACACTCTTTTAAACACCCACCACATCATCTCAGACCCCAAAAGGAAGATCACAGACTTTCAACTGAGTGCCTACCTCCTGCATTTCAAGAGCACGGTAGAGTAAGTGGTTAAGTTCTGGCATCAAACAGACAGGAATATAACCTCACTGGCTGTGTCTGACTGGTATGTTAGTTTGTAGGCTTAAATGGAATTACACAAAACAAGGACAATTAGCTGTCTTGAAGGCTTCATCCACGTTCCTCCTGGTTTGAGTGCCTTATAATGTTTAGGGCAAATGGTTAGACAATTGAGAGGAGAGGGAGGGAAAGAGGAAGAGAGCAGGATCCATCAGCCAACCTTTGGAGGCATGGAGTCAAACAAGACGAGAGTCAAGAAGAATTCATATCCATTGTCTTACAGTGAAAGCCTCAGGGGCAAAACTGGCCAACGAGGTGCTCTATAGCAGAGTGGTGATACCAGAGCAGAAAGAATGTCCTGCACAAAGTCCCACCTACTGACTTCATCTTGGACCCTATCTAAGCTGGAACTATGGCTTCCTCACATACTGCAGAGCTATGTGGACCTAAGCAGATGCTCAGCATGTATAAGCCAAAATATCTCATGACCAAGACCACGGGTGAAACCATGCTGGTGCTCTGACTCTCAAATCTCTGTCCTTTGGCCTAGGTCAGATTGCCGTGTGGTGTATCTATAAGGGGTAGTGTGGTCTTCGGAGGCCACCTCACATTTTCTTTGCTGGAGTGTTTAGGAGCTAGCAGGAGAGATCAATTTCATTCAACACTAACAAAGATCGAATGTCTCATTGTTGGGCAGCCCGGTGCTACACTCTGGGAAGAAAAAGACGAACAAGACAAGGGTTGTGACTCTGAGGCACTCAAGTCCAGTCAGAGAAGTAGAAGGGCCTCCCCACCTCAATTACCTCAGCCCTCAAGCTGGTCACGCACAAGGTGTCACTGAGCCCCACCTGTAACTAGGAACAGAAATGTGGCCAGGCCATCACCTGCCCGGAAGCATTGGAGCTGGCAGGAAAAGAAGGACTGGCATGATAGAGCCTCTGTCACCACTGGGCACCTCCTTCCCCAGAGGTGATCCCCAGGAACACTCCCATTTTCAGGGACGGTTTCCCCACTCACCCCACCCTCACTGAAGGACTGATCCAGGTTGGTACAAATTATAAGCTTCTAGGATCAGTTAAAAAAATTAAAAGGGGTGAGAGAGTATCTTCTTTTTTAAAGATTTTATTTATTTATTTGAGAGACAGGGAGAGAGAGCACAAACAAGGGGAAGAGCAGAGGGGGAGGAAGAGGGACAAGCAGACTCCGCACTGAGTGCAGAGCCTGACATAGGGCTCAATCTCACAACCCTGAGATCACAACCTGAGCAGAAGCCAAGAGTCAGAGGCTCAAGTGACTGAGCCACCCAGGCACCCCAAGAGAAGATAGCTTCAAAAGTTTGGATGGAAGGTGAAATGATGCCTAAACAGCTACTTCTCCCAAAGAATGCATTCAGCTTGAATGAAAAGTTCCTCCAGAGAGTTAATGCTTCACCATACAGAGTTTCAATTTGGGGTGACAAGAAAGTTTTAAGAATGGATATAGTGATGGTTGTACAGCATGACGAGTACAATTAGTACACTGAATTGTACGCTTAAAAATGGCCAAAATGATGAACTTTATACTATATATAAACACAATTTTAAAAAAATTTAAGATATAGCATATTACATCTACATTTCACAATAATTAATAAAGCCTAATAAATGTTACTGGTTAAAAAACAAACAAAAACACCTTCCCCAGAAATCAGTGTTGGTGCAGGTCTGCCCAGGGCTTTCCCTGTGTCCTCACCCACCAAGATCAACCACCCGCAGCAGGTTATACTAGTTTTAAGTTTCAAGGTCAAATGAGTGTTAATGAAACACTCCAGAGGTGTTCTGAAGAGTCCTTTGAAAAGGTGAGTGGGGGGGGGGGTCCCACACAACAGTGTTCATGCCCATTGCCTCTGACCGCCTTCTTCTCCAGATCTAAGCCTACTTTGCCATACTAACCTAAGAACTATTTTCTACTATCTTTAAGTTTCAGTTGTAGACACCAGATCGAGGTCATGACCAAGGGTCTCTAAGGTCTCTTTAGTTTTCCCTGGAACCCAGGTCCACAGATCACCTTCCTGTGCAAGTGATGCTGGGCTGGAGGCCAGATGTCTACCTCTACCTTTGGTCAGTTTCCCATAGGACAGAAGGAGGTTTGATTCCGACACTGGGAGCTCAGGCCAGTTCAGTCCCTCTGCTTAGGGAACCTTCCCTACAGGAAGGATACGCTGCCACCAGGGGGCAGTGGTACCATCCAAAGTGTAAAACACAGGACGCAGACAAGGGCTGGCAAGTGTATGCCTCAGCACCTGAGAATGACTGAGGTTCAGAGATTCAGAGAACATCTCATTGATCCATTAGACCTATGGTCAACAGAGTCACAAGCTGATGATTTTACGAGTGTTTGTGAGGATACAATATTCTCCCGCTACTCCCAATAGCATCCATGGTCATCAAGATGGTAGTAATATCAGCTAGCATTCACTCACAGTGTTGTAGCCTTTATGTGCATTATCTCATTCTATCCCCAAACAATCCTATAAGGACAGGTGCTATTTTTACCAGATGAGAAGACTGGGGTTGAGAAAGATTGACCGCTTGCCCAGTGTTAGATGGCTGGGAAGTGACAGAGCTAAGCCGCTGGGTTGCTAAACCAGATCTCTCTTATCCTTGCTTCACACCTTTCATTCCTTCCAGAAACTTCTTAGCAACAGAGGAGGGTTGGCCTACTGCCTTCGTGTTTTGTTTTGTTCATATATTTAAGTTTTACCCTCTGCCCATTTGCAAGACTATCTAAAGCCAATGGATCAACAGAACAGAGAGTATTAAAGGTAACAGCCTGCTTAGTGAAAGGCGGGTGCTTCCGGGTCAACAGACTTGGATTTGAATCCTGACCCTGCCTTCTACTGCCAAATAATTCTCAGCCTCCATAAACCTCAAGGCCCAGACTTGTAAAAAGAGGGTTATTTATCTTTGCCTCACAGGGTTATTATAAGAATTAAATATGTGGCACCACAGGGGCACCCCATAATTCTTAATTTTTCTTTCCTTCCTCAGAGGAAGTAGAAGCAATATGTATCCCAGGCACCTATGAGGAGCTGGTTTGTGCAGTCCTGAATTGGGCTCCAAGTTGCCTAACATGAAGGTAAAGAGAACATGGCAACATGGAAATGACCCTTCTTGCTTAGGTCCCCTACAGTAAAAGCAGCTAACTTCCAGTGAACATTTCCTATGCCCAGCTCCATGCTAAACACCTGACTTGCATATTTACAACTCTTTTGGTCCTCACAACAATCCTGTGGGGCTTTCGTATAATATCCCTTCTATCAAAGAAGAAATTAAGGTTTGAAGAGGTTAAACAAAAACTCAAAGCTAACAAGTAGCAGAGCAGGAACTAAACCCTAAGTGCCTTATTCTCAAACCTACACTCTTAAACCTCATAGAGTGTTGTATGTCAACTACACTTCAGTAATAAAAATTTAAGAAAAGACCCTTACACTACTAGGCTTCATTCACACTTAGGCCAGTGGGTTGGTGCTCTCAACCTGTACAAAAGACCCCTAATACTCCTCAACCACCCCACCCAACCAGGGCTGCCTGCAGCTATTCCAAGAGGCCGGGGGGAGCAGGAAAGCCCTTGGTTCTTCACACAGCACTCACCTGGACCAGGTAATCCCTCGGTAAGAGAGGAAGACGGACATGTTCCATCAGTTTTGCCATGTGCTCTAAACGGGTTTCTTTCTCATAATTGATCCATGAAATCACAGCTTCAAATACCTATCAAGAAAATCAACACAGGTAACTGTAGCAGAGAGAAGAGCTTCCAAACAATTTCCTCAATCTGAAAAAAAGAAGTCCAATGTCCAAATCATCCACAAAGGTTGTTAACCTAAGGTTCAACATTTACAATAAAAGAAAAATGGAAAGATTTTGTCTACTAGCTGACTTCAGAGTGATATCACACACACAGGTTATAAGAAACCTACTACCCCAAATGCAGAATCACCAAGTTCATTGCAAAATAAAGATCAGGTCTCATGGTTATTTAAAGATAGAAATACAGAGCAGGAAACCTGAACCAAAGACTGCACAGGAAGACCAGAAGACTTTGGGGCAAGGCCACCACGCCCCTCGCATACATCCCTCTCCTCATTCATCTCCCAAGTGCGGTTAATGCAGAATCAAGACAATAAGAATATCATCTGCCCAAAAGCTGGTCATCAAGATGGTAGTAATATCAGCTAGCATTTACTCACAGTGTTGTAAAAATGCTGAGTGGGTCAGCGAATGACAGAGAATTTCTCGTCAAAAATTTCTCCTTGGTTTAACCTCTCCCTTGAAGAGAGATTTCATTTCTCTACAAATGAAAATCGGGCTCGAAACCAAAAAGGAGGCTCTCTGGTTTGGATGTTCACCATGCTCAAGAAGAAATCCAAAATCATATACACACAGATGGATAAAATTCAATGTTGATAAGGCTGCAGGGAAACCAGCACTATTTCTGGAAACTTAACACAGCTTTTTAAGAAGGGAGGGAAGAATTGGCAATATCAATCAAATATTTCAATGTACATACTCTTTGACCTAGAAATACCACTTCTAGGATCTAGCCTACAAAAATATTCAAAAAGGTGGTGCTCATAAAAGAATATGTGTTCCAGGATGTTTGCTGATGCATTTTTGTAACAAAATAAAAAGGAAGCAACCTAAAGCTCACTAATGGAGAAATTATTTAACTAGTATACATACTATGGGATATTTTCAGCTGGTAAAAAGAATAAAACAAAACAACTTCTTGCGCCAGAAACCAAGAAAGTGCTCAAAGATTAAGATGGACACGTCAAATGAACAGAGCCAACAAACGGGGCTTTTGTTGCCAACATCTGGGACAAAACATCAAAGAGAATAATGAAGAAATCAGATTAGTGCTTCTTGATGAAGTGGGGTGGGGGAATGACTAGGAAGGTGACAAAGGAAACTTTTGGGGGAATGGATATGTTATGTATCTTGACAAGGTGGGAGTTACATGTACATATGCATTTGTGAAAACTAATTAGTCTGTATACGTAGTATCTGTACGTTTCACGGTGCCTAAGTCATAACTCAGTTTAAAACATTCGCAGAGGGGCGCCTGGCTGGCTCAGTTGGTAGAGCATGTGACTCTTGAGCTCAGGGTTGTGAGCTCAACCCCACATTGGACATGGAGCCTACTTTAATAAATAAATTAATTCATTCATTCATTAAATAAAACATTCTCAGAATGAAAGAAAAACACAGTAATGGATCATAACACAATGAACAAAAAAGAATCCATTGAATCCACAAAGATACTTTTAAAAATGTGGGAAGGGCTCTTCTTCACAGACAAATGCCAGCCAATAAAGGGAGAAGGAATGACAGAAAAAAAACATCATTTTGCAACCACAAATGTAATAACTAATTCAGCAAAATTCATCAGTGGATGCTCAAATCACTGCATGAAAAATTGTTGGGGAACAGGATAGTTTTCAAAGTTATCACCTCACAGATGACTTACTAATTCCATGATGGCAGGGGTGGGGGCAGCCTCAAATGGGGAAATCTGACAGATACTACCTTGAACAAGTGACCTAAGTTAGCACCACCAATAACAGGACAAACTTATCTTCCTGATTGTGACTTAATGAGAAGGACACAGCATCCCCTAAAGTACTTTCTTCCTAAAATGTTTAACCTGAATCTTATAGTAAGGAAACAAATCAGACAACTCCCTATTTGGAACATTCTGCAATTCTGTAAGACACTGGCCTGAATTCTTCAAAACCATTAATATTATGAAAGATTAAAAAAAAAAAAAAGGCTGAGAGATAGTTCTAGATTAAGGGGATTTAGAGACATGTGAACTAAATGCAATGCATGATCCTTGATTGGATCACGGATTTAAAAGAAACAGCCATAAAGGACTGTTAGGAAATTTGAATGCTGACTATGTATTAGCTAATATCATTGTATTAGTGTTAAATTTCTTTGGTATGATAATGGTTTTATGGCTAAATAAAGATAATTTCCTTGTTCTGAGGAGGTGCATACTCAAATACTAGGGATGAAGTGTTATCATGTCTCCAATTTACTGTCAAATGGTTCAGCAAAATAAAAGTTTAAATATGTGGAGAGAGAAATAAGGCAAATGAAGCAAAATGTTAACTGGTGAATCTAGGTTAAGAGTATATGAATGTGCATGCTTTCAAACTTTAATATAGGTTTGAAATTTTTCAAAATGAAAAGCAGAGGGGAGAGGAAAAGAAATTCTAAGGGAAAAGGAAAATGTGACAACAAAATTTATGTGGCATAAAGTTGAAATGGAAACTAACTCCCAGGGGTGGAAAAAATCTCTAATTTTTCTAACCCTAAGAATAGTTTGTGTGTATTGATATGTTAATGATGCTTTGGTCCTATTTCCTAAATATAAACTTAAGTCAGGCTGGGCATACTCAAAATAGGCGAAGAATCGATCAGAAAGGGAAGAAGAAAAGAATGGAATGGAACAGAAAGAAAGGAGCACTATCTCTGGATAGTATGCCCTCACTTCTGCAAAAAGTAACCTCTATGTGCACAAACATAAACATTCACATACCATGGAAATCCTCCCTGTCCAGTTTATTTTTTTAGATTATTCACTCTCATAGAGCTTTATCCCTCACCCTCATAGCATTAGTTTGTGAATCACTGTGTTGCTCCAACTAGCCTTTCAGATCCATAAGAACAGAGACCTTGTCTTATTTCATGGCAAATAACACATACTCGAATATTCCTTTAATGAATGAATGGACCGGTAAGTTCAGAACAAGCATGTACGGAGGCAGTGGAAGCTGTCCAGGCTGGGGAAAGGGGGACTAGAATCAGGGCAGGGACCAATGCAAGCTGGAGACCAAAGGAAGTCAGACCGTGCCGGATGAGTTGGTGGGCAACCACAGTCCTGTTCTGCCTTGCAATGTGGTTATCCAACTTCCTTCTGCTCCACTTTACTAGATTGGGAGCTCTTGCAAGCCATCTAGCACAACACCGGGCACAGAGCCGACGGCCAGGTGACAAATCTCTGCTGAAGAACGAACCGCAAGTCCTTGAGGAGGTGACATTTCCTGATCGTGCCCTTCCCCATCAACCAGCTTCGTCTTCGTTATAAAAGATAAAAAGCAAGCTGAGTCTAATAAAGTCGGTATTTAACCTTATCTTTATTTTTGGCTTGGCTTGTCTCACTGGTTCCACTCAGTTGCACTGTTTACCTACTCAGCTGTGAAAGCCACCCGCGCTCGGCAACAGTGACCTTCTCAGCAGCACCATGGGTTTTTTTCATTGAGGCTCCATGCTTAGAAAATAAGCCAATAAACTTGCAGCTAGCTCTAGGCCTTAATGTGCCTAAAATCATTCCCAAGAGCACCTCCTGTTAAGGGACTGGCAGCAGGAGCCGATGTTTACCAGGCGCCAAGCCCTGAGCCACGCGCTTCATGGACGCTGGTAGCCTGGACTCCAGGGACAGTCCAGGGAGCAGATCCTCTGAAACTGCATGAAGTGACTCACCCAGGCCCAGAGCCACAAAGCAGCAGGGCTGGGGTCCACCCAGACCCAACGCCAGCACTCATGCTCTTACCCACCATTCTCAGCTGTCTGTCACGGGCCTACAGCAGCGGCTGGCCCACTACAGCCCACAGGCCACATTCAGCCTGCCACCTGTTTTCATAAATAAAATTTTACTGGAACCCACAGCCACACTCACTCGTTTACATACTGTCTGTGGCTGCTTTCACATTCTAACAGCGGAACTGAATTGAGACTCTATGGTCCACAGAGCCTAAAATATTTACTATCTGGTGCTTTAGAGGAAAAGGGTATCAACTCCTGGTCTATGAAATCTAAGCAGAAACCCTGTGGTTCTGATCACAGGACAGGGTGATGTGTACTCAGATGAAAACACTTTTTATGCATCCCATGATGAAACCAGCTGCCGCAAGGCATGCTTAGGGTTTTACTTTTCAACAAAAAGAGCATCATTTCCTCACTGCTTTATATTCCAAAACCAATCTCTTGGGTGCCACAAGGTTGCTAGGTGGAAAAAGGATAGAGAAAATCGAATTTCACAGTTCCTGGCTCCCCACACTTCTGATGTAAGCACAAGCCTTGGCCAGAACACCAGATGAAGCTGACCCCCTATACCTACCACCCCTCCAGTGAGGGAGGCGGCCGCACCACACTGTACCTACACCCAGAGAGGAGAGTGCAGAGCGCTGGGGCACTTACAACTGCTTTCAAAACGTGTTCTGAAAATCAAGAAGGGGGACTTAAGTTAAAAATAGGCAGGGCGGTGACTTGGCAAGGGAAAAGGTCCAGTTGAGGGTGATTCACGGCAAAGCATAGGATGGAGGAAAAGAAGCCAGTTTTGACAAGATCAGGGAAAAAACTAGGTTTTTGCACATGGACTTAATTTGTTACTCAAGATTTGAGAAAGGCTAATTTTAAATAACAAGAGACACAGTGCTATGCATTTTACATGCAAGATCTCCTTTAATCCACCCCAAATCCTGTGAAGTAGGTATCGGTGTTCACATTTTATAGATGAGGAAACAGCCTCAGAGAGGTTAGTGTCCAAGGTCACGCTGCCAAGAAGTAGTAGAACTGGGATGTGAACTCACCTCTAACTCCAAAAACTCAAGTTCTAACATTATGCAATATTCCATCTCAGAGGCACAATTAGTTAGAAAGCCTGCACAGACCACTGAGTTGGGGAACTATATTCCTAAACC